TGTGGGTAGAGGAACGGTTGGACAGGGCACTGGCTACAATTGAGTGGTCGGGCATACATGAGGAAGTGGTGGTGCAGAACCTACAGACTCTCTGGTCAGATCATAGTGCCATATTCGTGGACTTGGAACCGAGACCCATGCGAACGGCGATGCGTAAGTTTCGTTTTGAAGCTGCATGGCTTCTGGAAGAAGGTTGCTCAAGGGTGGTTGAGGGGGCTTGGCATCAATCTAGAGGGCTGCCCTTTCAAGAAAGAATTGAGGTATGTGGAAAACAGCTTTGGAAATGGGGCGGGGAACACTTTAAATTCTTTGGCAACCGTATTAAAATTTTACGGCGTAAATTCGAGGAGCTTAAGGAAGATCGAAACTCACAGGCAGTGGCTGAGTTCCTGGCTGTCCGCACAGAACTGGAGACTCTATTAAAACAGGAGGAGATATTTTGGCAACAACGATCAAAGCAGCTTTGGTTAAAACAGGGGGACGCCAACACCAAATACTTTCACAAGATGGCTTCGACCCGTCGGCGTAGAAACACCCTTCAGCGTCTGAAAGACCAAGAAAACCAGTGGCGAGAAGGCCCGACTATGCACGCAGAGATTTTGAGGTACTTTAACCATATTTTTTGCTCTGGTAGCAGCAATCAGGACCTCTTTCGCCGTGTGCAAAAGCGGGTTACTGAAGAGATGAATTTAGCCCTTCTAAAGCCATATACGATGGCAGAAGTGAAGTCAGCTTTATTTTCTATGGCCCCGGATAAAGCCCCGGGCCCTGATGGCATGTCCCCGGCTTTTTACCAACATTTTTGGCCGGTCCTGGGACATGACTTATCTGTGTTCATCTTCAATTGTTTGGCAACCAGGGCTTTCCCACCGGGTTTTAATACTTCAAATATTGTATTAATCCCGAAGAAAAAGATCCCTGAGAAAGTGGCTGACCTTCGCCCTATAGCCCTTTGTAATGTTGCATACAAAGTCTGTGCTAAAATGTTGGCCAATAGGCTTAAAGGGACTTTGGAATCGATTGTCTCGCAATCCCAAAGTGCCTTTATACCTAACAGGCTACTCACGGACAATATCATCATAGCAGGAGAGATTGGTCACTATTTAAAACGTATGACGAGTGGCCGTATGGGATGGACTGCCCTCAAACTTGACATGGCCAAGGCCTGTGACAGGATGGAGTGGGGATTCTTAGAAGGGATGTTGGTTGCCTTAGGGTACACACATGAATGGGTACTAACTGTTATGTCATGTGTCTCAACTGTTAACTATACAATTCAGGTTAACGGTGAGGCCATTGGCACGGTGTGCCCCACACGGGGCATTCGGCAAGGCGATCCGTTTTCCCCGTACCTATTCATTCTTTGTGCCGAGGGCTTATTTGTTCTGCTACAACAAGCCGAGGCTCGTGGTGATATTCATGGTGTTCGAGTGGCCCGGGGGGCCCCGTCGATCACCCACCTCTTTTTTGCTGACGACAGTCTCCTTTTTTTCAGGGCCACACAAACTGAAGCGTTAAAGGTTAAAGAATGTCTAGAGGCCTACAGCATGGCTTCAGGACAAATGATCAATTTTGAAAAGTCAAGTGCTATTTTCAGTACTAATACACACCTGGATATCCGGAATCTTATTTCAAGAGTTGTTGGTGTGCGAATGGCTAATGACTTGGGCCGTTACCTTGGTTTGCCTTCGGTTCTTGGCCGTAACAAGGTTGAAATTTTCAAATACATTGAAGGGAAGATTCGTGAGCGTATAGGCATGTGGCAGCACAAGCTTCTTTCAAGGGCAGGTAAAGAGGTTTTAATCAAAAGCATAGCTCAATCATTGCCGATTTTCACTATGTCTACATATTTACTACCACTGCGGACATGTGACTCGATAGAGAAATGCCTGAACCGTTATTGGTGGGGTGGAAGTGGTTCGGAACGAAAAGGTATTCATTGGTTGAATTGGTCCCGTTTATGTGTGCCCAAAGTTCATGGCGGATTGGGTTTCAAAAAAATTCATGAATTCAACATAGCGCTGCTGGCAAAACAAGGTTGGCGCCTTCTTATCTATCCGGAGTCTTTAGTTGGCCGACTTCTGAAGGCTCGATACTTCCCCGCTTGTGGTTTTTTGGATGCACAAATGGGTAACAATCCTAGTTACCTATGGAGGAGCATCATTGCAGGCCAAGGGCTGTTAAAGCAGGGGGTAGCTCGCCGAATAGGTGATAGTGTGGATACCAAAATATGGGGTTGGGGGTGGTTGGCAGACACTGTTACTCCTCATCTACATACACCTTGCATTGATGAGCTTCGCGAGGCACGGGTAAGTGGCCTTCTTACGGCCGAGGGGAACTGGGATAGGGAGGTGATCAATGATATTTTTGAGGTAGCCGATGTTCACCGCATTTTGGTCACACCGGTAAGCTGCACATTCAGGGATTCATGGCGATGGATTGGTGACATGAGGGGACAGTTTACGGTCAAGCATGGCTATCGATTACTGACAGGAGATCATCATCATATAGGAGCGTCTGATTTCACGGCATGGAAAAAGCTGTGGTCTTTGCCAATCCCACCTAAAGTTAAAAACTTGTTGTGGCGGTGCGCCAGGAATATTCTACCGGTACGGGAAGCGCTGAAATCTCGTCACGTTTGGTTAGGGGGGGGGGGGGGGGGGGTTGCCCGTACTGTGGCTTCCCTTATGAAACACAGGAACATTTGTTTGGCGGTTGCTGGTTTGCTTTGGAACTCTGGGGCCAGCCTGATTTTCTCCAAGGTCGCTCATGGCCTACTTGTATGGATGCAATGCTTAATATGGTGGACTCATCACACGGCGTGATATTGGCAGCCATTGTGGACGTAATTTGGTCAACGCGTAATGAGATCGTATGGCGTGGTACTAGGCCGTCCATCTTCACTATGTGGCATAGTGTTTATACCCGACAGTTGTCTTGGCAGGAGTCCTATGGTCGGGCTACACACGAAGGGTCGACGGCACCTGATGCGGTCTGGACTCCACCTCCGGGAGGAAGCATCAAGTGTAATATAGATGCGGCCACCTTTCCAAGTGGTGTTGGCGTTGGAGCGATACTACGAGATTACACAGGCAGATTTGTGGCGGCGAGGAGTACTCATATTGAAGGAATCCATGACCCGTTTATGGCCGAGACGATAGCGGTAAAGGAAGCCCTGACGTGGTTGAAAAGACTAAATTACTCAAGACTTATCATTGAGACGGATTGTTTAAATTTTTGTACGGCTTTCAATTCCACTAGTTCTGATTTTTCTTACGTAGGTTTACTTGTTAAGCAATGCCTTTTAATTGCTGATGACATTGGCGATGTGATTGTTAGCCATGTTAAGAGGTCAGCGAATCGAGTGGCTCACGAGTTAGCGCGGGCAACTAATTCTATAACTGCCTCAGGGGAGTGGACTGTTATCCCACCCACATGTATTTCCGGTTTTTTAAGCTACTAATGGAATCTGTTCAGTTTTGTTCAAAAAAAAAAATAATGCTTGTGAAAGTGGCATTATGTGAAAAAATTCTACATAATAATGCTAGTATGAGCGGCGACAAGCCGCTAGAAGATTCTGTGTCTATCCTTATTTCTTATGCTAGAAAATTCTAAGCAACATTGTGGCATTATTGTCCTATTTAATTTTTAATGTTTAATTTAATACTCCGTACTATTTAGCCTTGGTATTATTAACATGCTCTCATAAATTGTAAATATAGAATGATTTTATATTTTACTATCTGTATTTTAGACCTATTAATAGTATATATCCGCTCAACATAATGACAACCTTAACTCGGATGAAATCTACAATTTTTCTATGAAAGATAATAGTGATACCATTCAATCCTAATCTCATCATCTTTGTTAAAAAAAATCACAATATAATAAATAATAATTAGATATAAGCTTTTATGATTTTTTTTTTAATTATTTTTATCAAGAAAGAAAAGGACACCCTAAGGGCATCCTCAATAGTGAGATTCTTGGGATTGATTTTTGAGGTGTCAAATAGGAGACAGGAGAGAGAAAAATGTGAGGAAAAAAAAAAGATTGGGCTGAAAGCCTGAAATAAACTAAAAATAACAATAATTACGTACCTAGTCGGGCGACTGACGGTGCTTCACGTGAGCTGCGGTTGTGCGCCTCACGCGAGCTGCGGTTGCCTCTCTCTTTTTTGGTGGGGTGGGACTCGCAACTCTGCAAAATTTTAGATTTTTACAAGGAGAACTCATTCCTCCTCTCTCTTCCATGTGACACAAAAGCCTGCAAAAATAAAGAAAAAACCATCTAATAGGTTGCTCTAAATTGAGCTAATTAGCTATTCACATTCTTCTTGGTCAAGACTCGAGCAATTTGCCTCCATCGATTGCGTAGTAGTGTAATACTCTACAGTAACCTGCCTAATTCCCCTACACAAGTTGGTCTTTTTAGAACAATCCAAGTCTCGACCTCTATTACACTACAAGAGCCAATATTAAAAGAGAAACCACCGTTCTATGGTTTACCATTGTTGGTTTCCAGTGGTTTAGCATACTTGGTTCTTCGTTTGACTTGTAGGTCATGAAGGTCAAAGGATAATGAAATGTTTGAATTAGATTCCTTATATCCACATGGTCACATAAAGATTAAAATTTGATCGATAGACTGATTACACAATAACAAAAAGAGAGAGAGAGGGAAAAACACCCGAATAAGTGAGCTTTAAAAAATGAGAGAGAGAGAGAGAGAAACACCCCCAACTAATATCTCACTGGAAACATATATTTTGCACACATGAAGACTAAAACCCAACCAATGAACTAATTGCACGACTCACAGTTTATCACTACAATAATAACTCTAAAAGCAAGATCACAAGATCCCGTGAGCTTTTAAAAAAATAAAAATAAATAATGAGGTACACATCGTTATTGATGTCTTTTGTACCAACATTTTCTGCAGCTAAACATAAAATTTATTACAAGCCAAAAACCCACACCCCTAAGGACAAGATGCATTTAACAGTCTGCAATGTTAATTGCAAATGAATAAAACAGCTTCCACCAAAAGTAGACTTTTGGGTCCTTCCTCTTTACACTTGTTAAGTACTCGTTAAAATCTGATCAATAAGATCAAAATAGAGGGAGCCAGCAACACATAAACAATCTTTAGAAGACAACAGAAAATAATTCATTACAAGAAAGCAAAGCAACAAGTTTCTCTCAAAGCCACACAAGCAGTAAAGCACTACACTGTCTGTAACATATTGAGACATGTCTCTAAGGAACACAAACTATCATCATTTCTGGAGGAAATGAAGCATAATTCATATAAGTATTGGCTCAGGGCTTTCACTGGGCAAGCACGCTTTGCTGAGATGGGTTCTCTTGTTGCTGTTGATAGTTCAGTGGCCTTCGGAAGAGCATGATGTGTGGCTCTGGTCGATGAATAGCGTAATGAACCCATCCCCGGCTCTGCTGAACCCCTATAGCTCTCCATTCATTCTAATACGAAATCAAAAGTATTGCAAGACATTTGAGCAAACAAAGTTGAAATCGCAAAGCAAGATAGCACGAAGGCAATACAAAGAAAAAAAAACACACAGATTGTCAATTATGATCCCCAAGCACTACACTGACAAATACCAGATTCTTCAAGATTTCATAAACACTGAGCAAAATATAATGAGTTCTATATACTCCCAAATTCTACTCTAACACTTTCACTTCTTAATGTGACAAACAAAGATAGACTATTTTCAACATGTGGGTCCCCAATTCACATTAAGATGCATAGTATTTTACAAAAAGAATTCACAAATCAAGCAATTACATAGGAAATGAACTTTGAATGCTCTGGTATGATCACTCCACATTGGCAGACAATAATCTTCATAATGTGAAAGGAAAACTGTAAAGAGGATTCTCTAATGTGATCTCTACACAACAAAGACAAGAATCAAACTAATTGACATAGTAGAACTGTATGGATACATAATTGTGCATTACCTACTTATATGTGAATGAAATGATCAATTTAACCTCAGAAATAATCCCCTAATACAAAGGGAAAATCATCATCATAATTCATCAAACTACACATCACCATTCCAAGTATCACTCTGTAACAGTCAACCCTAAGAGGACGATATCTTGCTTTTAACATGCTTTTTGTAACAACCAGAAGGTATTACTTTCCGTATCTCACAAATGTCAGTGAATGTTCTAATCAAAACGATGAATCAAAAACCGATTGAGAAACTTACTTCGGAGAGAAGCCGATTCTTCGGAAGGAGCTTCGCCACTTCTGGCGGAAGTACCACATGCCTGAGAAAAATTCAAAAAACACAAAAATCAAATGAAAAAACCCTACACGCTCAATTTTGTGAAAAATCAAATAGATTAGGAGACCGGAGTACCTGTACTCGTAGGTATCATCGAAATACTTCTCGGAATACTGGATCTGACCCATTTTTTTTCACAGAGACAGCCTAACGAGCAGGGATAGCACAAACTTGCCCTGGCGGTTCAAATTATCTGCGAAAACAGAAGAATCTAGAAATTAGCAGAGAATCCGAGACTCGATAGCAGCGTGAGCGATCGAATCTAGAGAGAGGCGCGCATACATGGAGTTGCAGATTTCGCAGCGAGAGAAATCGGGACCGGTGAAGTAGCTGATAGCCTGATAGTAAAGGGGGAAGGAATGACCTATTTTCTAGAATCCTATTTTAGAAATTTAAATGGAACGAGATTTTTATAATTATAAAATTTGGGGAAAAAAAAATGTTTGATTTGAATTTCAAATTTGACATCTTTCCCGCTCAGTTCGATTTTTGGTACGTTGGATTAGATGCTACTCGGTATTATGGTTTTGATTAATAATTTCATCTTATATTTGAAACACATTCTAATTGATTGAATTTTTTTTTTTTCAAACTTCACGCTTATGACCAGTTGAGTTGTACCTACGAATAATTGTGTTTTTTTTTTAATGTTATTGATTGATTGTTAAATCATAAGCATTTAATAAAATCCCAAAAAAAAAAAAAACACAAAATATAATGTTTGATTAATTTTTATCATTATATTAGTAGTACAAACCCGATAACAATATAATTACACATTCTAAATTACTAGGAATGGCAGTCGAGTTTAGAATGTTATGATTACTAACCTTATTGTGTAATGAACTCGACTAAGACTACTCTATCGATTGAATCTCAAAATAAAAATAATACAACGATTCATGTGATAAAACGTCTCAATGCATAGCAATATGTATGCTTAATTATTAACATAAATTTTTTGAAGTGACAAATTGCAACCAATTTAAGGATTAACATTACCTTCTTTTTTTTTAACACATTGTTTTTATTCTTTTCGTTGGAAAAATTTTGTCACATACATTTGGTATTCAAATACTCTCTAATTAAAAAATGACTATATTTAGTCTAAAACATTTAAAATGCCCTCACATTTACCAAATGTTAGAGCATCTTCAACGGGAGGCCAATTTCCATCCCCAAAACACCATTCCCTCAAATTTCTCTCTCCAAAGTGCCTCGCCAAAATGCCAAAACGCTAAAGGGAATGGCGTTAATTGTCTAACTGCTTGGGCTGGACAATATGCTGGGATAAGTAGAGAACCAACTATTATTCTTGAAGTTGTAGCTGATTATGATTTGTGGATTTAGCATGCACATTTTGGTATGTCGGGGTCGAATAACGACATTAATGTGTTGGAGGGATCTTATTTGTTTTACAATCTTGCAAACGGTATAACACCTCCTTGTCATTATGTTATTCAAGGACAACAGTACCACACTGGATATTATTTAGCAGATGGTATATATCCAAAATGGTCCACATTGGTACAAACAATTCATGAACCTCGAGGGCCTAAAAACAAGTTATTTGCGATGATGCAGGAAGCGTATAGAAAAGACGTAGAACGTGCATTTGGAGTTCTCCAATCACGATTTGCAGTAGTAAGGAACCGGCACGTTTTTGGGATAAATGTGAATTGCATGATATAATGTCATCTTGCATTATAATGCACAATATGATCATTGAGGACGAACGTGATGAGCAAGCAGATATACAAGGTTGGAAGGAAACACCGACTCCTGAAGTTGATATAGCTAGATATGAGAATATTATATTTCAAGAATTTCTTGCTCGGCATAGACAAATTAAAGATAAAGAAGCTCATTATGCACTCCGTAATGCATTGATTGAGCATTTGTGGGAACGATTTAGTAATTCCGATAATTAAATGTACTAGATGTTGTAAGTTGTATTATTATTGTGGAATAAATTAAATTTTTAAAAATATTGTTAAATTTGATTTTTAAAAATAATTAATGTTATAAAACAATTATTTTTAATAAAAATTATTATTTACATTACAAATTATAATTTATATTAAACTAATTAAGTTCGAACTAAATTATATTAAACTAACTAAATTCGAACTAATAATTGAAAAATAAAATTATTTTAGTGTAAAAGTTTGGTATTTTGGTGTAAATGGGTTGGAGATGAATAAAATTTGGTGTGAGAATATGCTGAGAATATTCCTTGACATTTGATGTTTTGGAGATGGAGGGGTTGGAGATGCTCTTATTATTTTTCAAATGAGAACACATTGCCTTTTGGACTTAATTTGGGGCAATTTATATCCTACACCATGGCGCGCGTTGCACTATCCGCCCAGATGCAAAACGACGTCGTTTTAATTTTAATCTTTTTTTTTTGAAATTTCCCGCCCCAGTGAATGGCAGTAGTTTTTTCTTTAAAAAAAAAACCTGCTGTTCAAGAATGTACATAATGTTATACTAGAATAGACATAATTGTATACATGAATGTACATAATTATATAACAAAATATACATACTCTTTTTAAAAGATAATACACATAATCTAACATAATACATAATAAACATAAACTTTTAACATAATACACATCAACTATTAACATAATACACACAAATTTTCTGATTCGGATGTACATAATTGTATAAAAAGAATGTACATAATTGTATAAAAAATGTACATAACTGTATGAACCAATACACATAACTGTATGAACAAATACACATAACTTTGTGAACAAATACACATAATCCCAGCAACTTCCTACCGCGCCTCCCAAAACGACGTCGTTTTGGGAGCGCGCGGCGCACAGTGCTATGTGCGCCGTGGTGTAGGGTATAACGATTGTTAATTTGGTTTATTTGAAATATGTCAATGAATTATGCGGTAAATTATTGTATGGACCATGGTCCACACAATGTTATGTGGACCATAATAAAATGTACATTTTTAATATATTAAATGTACATTATTTTTTTACTGAATGTACATTATACAATATAATGTACACTCAGAACAAAAATAATATACATCCCCTGAATATAATATACATTATTTTTGTATTGAATGTACATTATTTTTGTACTAAATGTACATTATTTTACAGTAGATAAAATATGGTCCACACAACTTGTGTGGACAATGGTCCATACAATAATGATTGGAATTATGCATCCCAAAGTAACTAGGGTTGGCTCATGAGAGCTCGGCCCAAGAGCAATCAGTTGGCTAAGTGGACAAAGGGTTGTTATATGTACCGCGGTAAAAAACGGCATCGTTTCTTTAAGTAAAGAAACGGCACGCCGTTATAGTTAACGGAGTCCGCTTGTTTGGTGTATTAAACACCAACTGACACTACAATATATCTAAACCGATACTGGAGTTATATAAAAATGACACTGTAATTATAGTGAAATGAAACTGCAGTGTATATAAAATGAAACTGAATAACATTTCACATATTTGAGTGTATATTGTACAATGAAGCTGTAATTATATCAAAATGATCATGTAGTTGTGTTTTAATGAAACTAGTGTATATAAAATAAAATTAAATAACATTTTCACATATTTGAGTCTATAAATATCGAATGAAACTATAGTTATATCGAAATGAAACTGTAGTTGTGTTGAACTGAAATTGCAGTGTGTACAAAATGACACTGAAGAATAGGGTTACTTTTTGCAAAAGGGTGCGAAACGGCGGAAAACAAACACGGTTTATTTTCATTTAAAAAAAAAAAAAGACGCGCGGTGCATGATTGATCATGCACCGTGGTGCATGATATAATTTGCCGTGGACAAATTGTCGCAAATTATGCCCTGGACCCGTGTCCACAATGCATTGTGGGCACGAGTCCAAAACGATGTTGTTTTCAGGGAAAACGCGTCATTCCAGTTTTTAAAAAAATTTGATTTTGTCTCGGTGTTAACAGCGGTATTCGTTTGTGCCATTATGAATGTACAGTTATGAGATTATGAATGTAGAGTTATGGAATTATGAATGTAAGTTATAAAATTATGAACACAGAGCTCTGACATTATGAACTTACAATTATGAACATATAGTGATAAAATTATGAACATAGAGCTCTAAAATTGTGAACATGGAGCTTCGAAAATTAGGATTTTACAATTATTGAATTATGAATGTACAGTTACGGAATTATGAATGTACAGTTATGCAATTATGAATGTACAGTTATGCAATTATGAACACAGAGCTCTGACATTATGAACTTACAATATGAACATATAGTGATAAAATTATGAACATAGAGCTCTAAAATTGTGAACATAGAGCTTCGAAAATTATGAAGTTACAGTTATTGAATTATGAATGTACAGTTACGGAATTATGAATGTACAGTTATGGAAGTATGAATGTACAATTATGGAATTATGAACATAGAGCTCTGACATTATGAACTTACAATTATGAACATATAGTAATAAAATTATGAACATATACTCCTATAACGAAGCGGTCTGAAATTAAAAAAAAAAAAAAGAAGTGAAAGATAACAGTGCCACTAACGGCACTGTTACCCGTGTCAAGCATGCATGCTGGACACAGGTCCATAGCATAACGATTGACAAATTATACTATAGATCATGTTCACACGGCATTGTGAGTCCTGATCCAAAATTACATTTAAATTATGTTTTTACAATTAATAAATTATGTATATGTAAATATATTGAATGCACATAATATGTATTTAACATATTACATGTCTTCAATTTATTTACATGCACATAATTAACTGAAGACACATAATACATCAATGCTTCATGCTTGTTAGGTAGACCATGGAGTTGAATTGTGTGGATCATGTATATGGTACATTATTTTCAATGTATAGTGCACATTATTTTCATGTATAGTGCACATTATTTCTATATGCAATGTTCATTATTAGAATGTGTGTAAAATAGTATGAAAACGATTTGATGATTTATTATTTATATGCATAGGGTTCATTATTTGTGTGCATAAAATTCATTATTGAGCATGTACAAATTACTTGAAGGTTGATTATTTAGACATGTATATTATACATCCATTTATATTATACATGAGGTTCATTATTATTTGTGGAATATAGTTAAACTTATTTAACACACGTCACCCCATCTATATATCTATATATCTATATCTATCTATATATATATATATAAATAAAATCCTCCTAGCCAAGTTTTCCCCCCAAAACTTAGCGGTATTTATGTAATAATAATAATAATAATAATAATAATAATAATAATAATAATAATGATGATGTTATTACCTTAAATAAATAAATTATTATTCTTTCCTTTTGAATTAGTATTTTCTATCTATAAATACA